AAATGAACAGTAATCAATTACATGACAGTATTTGTCCATATTATTGCTTAGTATTTTCTTCCACTCATTTAATTTTTAATTGTGCTTTTCATTACCCACCTCGTTGTATTTTCTGTCCAGGGACTCAAGTGTGATGGAGTTAGGAACTACAGTTTTATTCTTTCATCTAAATGCTACTTATAATGTTTATCTAAATTAGCAAAGAAAAAAAATGTGTCTTTTGGGAATAACTCATTCTTCCTTCCACTTTTCCATTCAAGTTCCCTCTGTACTTTTAGTATCATTCTACTTCCCCCAAAAGTTTTTATTCATCTTAAAAAACCACTGCATAGCATGGATGGCCTGGAGCGTTGGATTAAAAACCTGTGGCGCTTCCAGGCTCTAGCAGTAACAGTGTGAGGGAAGCAACTGTATTTCCAGCCAGACACTGGGAGTCTAATGGCTGGCTTTAGGAGGCGATACAGAAATTAGCCAGAGCAGTGTTGAGAGTGTCTGCCGGTGGCCGCTGCTAACCTGGCAAACAGCTGAAGCAGAAGTTTTATACAACTTTTCCTGGATACAATTCTGGCAATGAGTTATACCATCTTGAGAATTTGGCAACTTTGTTCTTATATAATTAATGGGGGGAACCAAAATGATAACCTTTTCCTAATATTATTTGAATTTTTTGTTCTTATAATTTGTAACTAAGAAATTCTTTCATAGTTTATTATCCTTTGAATCTCTACTAAAAATGTTTTGGTAGTTTCTTTGTAGCTTTAATAAACATATGCAGTTGACCTAGCTACTTCAATAAAAGGATAAATTTGAAAACCACTTGAAAGATCATTTTTAATAAAAAGGATTTTTATCAGGCTGGTGACTGAACTCAACATTACCTTAATTGGCAGAGGTCCTGTGAACTGTAGCTGCTGTCTTAAAATCCCCCCATTAGTGTTCACATTATCAGTTAGAGGGCTGCTTAACTGGGGTTGAAGGAGGGATCAGGTAGGGTGTACTATGCATAGCATTTCACAACTCTTGAGAACAAGTGTAGTCTAGTTAGGAGAAAACCAACCAGGATTGGAATCACACAAATGTTCTTGACAAGACTCCAGTACTTGTAACTATAAAACATTTAGTTTAAAATGTGATTAAAATACATAAAATAGCTATACATGTACATAGTGTATTCTGTAGCTGTCAGTTTTTTGATGCTCATCCTTAGTAGCGCTTAATCAAACACTATGATCAACTAATACTAGTTTTATTCCAAAAAGGCCAATATATATATATTTGTCAATTCTAGTACTTTAGTAGCTAGCCACCAAGTCATTAACATATGTAAGCTTTCATCATCAAAAGAAAAATGTCCCTTACGAATAGTAGTAACAGCTTGTCACTACCAGGCCTCATTACTCACATCACTGAAGTCTGCAAAGCATGACATTCATATTTATCCCGAGTGAAAGAATGACTTAAGAACACATATAATGTATTCTAAACAATATTTTACAGATTAAGAAAACTAAAGGACTTTACAGATTTTACTACCAGAAATTAACTACCAGAGTAATTCCCAGAAAAAGCAGAAAATGCCAGTGTGCTAATTATGGATTAATTTGGGTACATTTCATCCAATTCGTCTGTTTTTTTTTAAAATAGAAATATGTTTAAAGTAACAGCTGAAAAGAAAGTTTTTATGTAAGTGGAAGTATTCCTAGAATCAGCCTAGACTTCTGGTTGTGGAAGTAGGACAGACAAATTCCCTGGAATGACCCTTTCATTGACAAAAAATAATAATTCTGGATAATATTTAAGTGATTCTTAATGCTTTGAATGAGTAGGCAAATGTAATAAAAATACAGGCCAAAGATCAGGTGAAGAAGAAAAGTCAGAGAGACAAGTCAAAATGGAGCAAGCCAAATAGAGGTGAACCTTGGTGAACCGGATTGTATTGTGTGTGTGCATAGATTCTGTTCTGTGGGAGGGAAGGGTGAGGATGTGTGTGTGGTTGGGGGTGTGGACATGTGTGTGGAAGCCAGAGATTACCCCCCCCCCCCCAATTAGGAGCTGTCCACATTGTATTTGGAGACCAGGTCTTCCTGGCACCTGTGGTAGCTGGCCTGTGTGCCCCAGGGATCTGCCTGCTTCCACCTTCCCAGATCTGTGACTCCTGGTGCACTCTGCTGCATCAGGCTTTTTATGTGTTTGCTGGAGATCAAAGTCAGGCACTCATGTACAGCCACTGATGCCTATGGGACAGCTCAAACTGCAGGCCTCATAGGAAGACATAACCACCCTGCAGAGATGATCCCTCAGCCGAAAGATGAACTAAGAACAGGGACTGTGTAACGTGATAAAAGGGTTCCTAGAAAAACCTAGTCAACTTGTGGGACTTGGTGGCACATACCTTCAGTCCCAGCACTAGGCAGACAGAGGCAGGCAGATCTCTGTGAATTCAAGACCAGCCTGGTCTACAAGGTTCTAGGACAGTTACGGCTGTCACACAGAGAAACCCTGTCTCAAAAAACCAAAAACCAAAACCAAAACCAAACAAACAAAAAACAACCCCCGCAAAAGACCAAAGAACCCCTCTCCAAAAAAACAGTTAACTATAAAATGTTTTAGCATTCAGTTTAAGATTCAGATGAGAGTTCTTGCTATCATCATTTCTTTTCAGCAGAGTATTTGATGGTCAATTCAAATCAGTAAGGCATAGTAGGTAAAAGAAACAAAACTATTCGATTGTGATATGATTCTATTGTTATAAAATTCAAAGACTCTAGAGCAGTAGTGTTTAAATATTAAATAGTAAAATAAGCAGTAGAGTTGAAGTGTTGCTCTGATATAATGAATAAATTCGAAACAATTTTATTTCTTTATTACCACTCTATAGGAAATATTTTACAAAAAAAATTCCCAAATTAGAAAGTCAAAAGACTAATAAGAATCATACCAGTTCCCTGTCTCCTGAGATTTCTATCAAGTGTGGAACTCTGTCTGCCCTGTCACCTTCCTCCTCTCTCAGTACTTGACCCCAGAAGGCAGTACTCCAGGAACACTGGCCTGCAGGAAAAATGCCACCTGTCCTGCTTGCCTGCCACACACAGCTTACTACACCAGCTCTTGTTAATTCTTTTCAGCGGGAAAAACTGCAGATATTTTAATATTTTTTTTCCAGGCTTGCCAAGCTCAGTGAGATGTCTACTCAGAGATTAGACCATGATAATATGTAAATGCAACCCCCTAAGTACTATTATATTGCAAATAGTAATATGAATAATAGTGAATTACATTTTCTTCTATTAAAAACTTCAGAGTACCTATTTTTAGGACTGTGATCAGAGGCACTCACAATGTACAACATTTAACATACCATTATAGAATTTCTTACAAAACTAGGTTGTCCCCAAACTCTTGGTAATAGAATTATTTATCTTTATATTATACAGACTTCAAGGGGCTACTCCTGTGAGGCCTAAAGTCCTTAAGAGAGTGCCAGGACCAAAGCCAAACAAAAAGAAAGAAGGAAAAAGCACCGCATGAGCCTGTGGTTCCATGTGTGCAGCATGCTTCCTTATTAAGGAACAGACCACCATGTGAACCTGTTGAAGGCACGAGCACAGTTAGAAAACTAAATAAATATGAAGCTTGCATTAAGTAGTAAAAATAAAGGCTCATTCTGCAGGGGGGAAATACCCAGAGTGTTTTATTATTAAAGTCTTCAGATAGAACAGGGTCCATTCGTTCGTCAACACCAGGCCTCTCTTCTGTATGTCAAGTGGAAACTGATACTGAAGAATGTTGAATAGAATTCCCCTCTCAGAGCTGAGTTTTGCACGAAATGCTTCCCGCCTTGCTTTAGCGTAAGAGTCCCCTGTGGTACAAATGCAGCTATGTAGCACCCTTTGGAGAAGGTAATTCAGTTAGCTAGGATCAGGAGCTGGGAACAGAACTGAATATGATTCTTATGATAGGAAATGTGGGAGAGACCTAGCTAATGAGTTATTACTGGACTTGCAGTTCTCTGTGATTGCCTCATATGTTTCCTCTTCTGTGTAGACCAAATACTTAGCCAGTCAATCATATTTTCACATACTTGTTAGAATACCTGAAGTATAACCTGGTGATAAGATATCGAGGATGAAAACTTCAGTTTATAGTTTTTTATTTATGCTACTACAAGAGAGAAGCATAGTAGCATTCCCAAGGTAGAGAAAGGCAGAGTTACCATGACTCCATATCTAACCAGACATGTCTTCCTGGGCACAGCCTTTCCAGGGGTACCTCATGACTTCAACAGAGAGCCCTCGTGTATTGTTAGACACCTCTAATTTCTTCTTTCGAACAGACCATCCTCTGGTGTGTTTCTCACACTGAATCTGTGCCAATCCTCTACAGCAGGAGCTGCAACCAAAATTTAGGCTTATAAAGAAACATTGGCTTCAGGTGTTGACAAAACATTTGTCTTTTGGCCGTAGGTTTAGGTTTTGGTTTGCTTGGATCAGTACTGACTGGCTTGATTTCTCTTCTGTATGTAATACTGCTTCATGCATGGTGGTGTAGTATTTATTTCAGGTCAGCCTTCTTTCCTCAACAGCATGTGATCTAGGACAAGGTATTTCATCTTTATGAGACTCAATAGCAGCTTACTGAGTTGGTTTTAAGATTAAGGTAACAGGCATTCATTGAGAAGTGGCTGTTTTTGTTGTCTTAGTAAATACATATATCAGCTATATAGGAATTCATCTGATCTGTCATCATATTTCATACATAATTAAAATATTTTCTCAGCTTTCAAATCAAGGAAGCTGTAACTTGTGCCATGCTGGATTTTAGAAAAACTTTATTTTGTTTTTCATGGTTTTTATCTTTTCCTTAAATGCTTTGCTCTTTGATCTATGAGGTCAGAGTTATGTTCTTTGAAAAGTGTTAACACTGAGAAGTAATTTTTCAAGCTTATAAGCTTACTGCCATTTACAAAACTATCACAAGCACACTCTTATTTCTGTTTTCAGCCTGGCAGGGGGTCGGATATTATCGGTGATAAAGATGCATCTGATCAAAGGCCACAGCAGTGGAGATCCTTTCTATAAAGCAGTAGAGGAAGTTGTTCGGGATTTGGATTTGAGGATTAAAAATATTATCAATTCTCAAGAAGGTGTAGCTGTCAGCACCACCAACATCAGTCCTGTACCGGTAATGGATTTATTCTTCATTGTCCTTTTATATAAAACATAATCTCTTCTATTCATTGCAGAAATTGTTTGCTGTTTCTACTTGAGTCAGAAGAGTGCATTTTCTATGTTTTAAGGTGATGCAATCAGATTTAATTTTCTCAATAGGATTATGTTCAACTGAGGTAAATCATAACATCTTTGGGGAAAATGTATTTGTTAAAATAAGACATCAGATAATCTCTAGTGTGTCTTTCAGCACTGAATACTTAAGGTGCTTAGAGCTACTTTTTCATAATTGTTCTTATAATACTATTCTTTTTGTATTTACTCTGATGTACAATAACAGTCTGGTTTTTGACCCCAGTACTCATCTCTCTGCAGGACAGCAGCAGCCCTATTAGAACAGGTTTTGTCATCAGAAGTTAGTTTTCATTTATAGAGCCATGTAAGTTTTGTTACTAACTACATTTCCAGTTGATTACAATTCAGTCTCCCTTGTACTTGGGAATCTTGATTATACAACATATACTTCTTCCTTGACTTTCTTGTATAGATAGTCGATTTTAATAGATCATTACTACAGAAATGAATTACCATGATTTTAAATACAGAACAGAATTTTGGACTATGTATTATAGTGGGTCTATCTTTTCCCTTTTTCTTTCTTTGTTTTTATTTGAGACAGTCTTTCTGTGTAGTCCAGGTTGGTTTGGAACTCACTACGTAGCCCAGACAGGCCTGAAAGTCCTCTCATAGCCTCATGAATGCTGGAACTCCATGTGTAAACCGTTGTGCCTGTCTACATTGTGGTGTTTATTTGGTTAACAAAAGGCCCTTTTCATTAGGTGTCACCATGGCAGGCAGTGCATGAAGAAATTCTTTTGCTTTTGCTATTTATTCATTTTTTCATCCACAGGCCTTGGTGATCATTTTTATCTATTTCCCTACAAAAAAGCATGTTCTTAGATTGACTTTAAAGGCATCATGGGTAAGATTCTGGGATGCTACCCCATTTATTTCATGTGCATGCCAACATTTTGAGTGACTAGCTTGGCACAAAACTCAAGGGAGCTATCACAGCAAGTGTAAGCCAGGAACCATTGCCATCTCAGATCACTCAGAGTGCCAGCTTCCCATTTGTAGGCAGACAAAATCCTGACACAAACCACCTGTTCTTAGTTTTATGTTTTCCACTAAATCACGAATCTTGAAATCACCATCAAATAACACTCAGTGAAGGTACTAATAGCATTGTGACACTCTGATAGTGATGTAAACCATATGGTAAGTACTAGATCTGGTAGGCTCTGTGAAGGTACTAAAGCAATGTGGCACCCTCTGATAGTGATGTAACCATGTGGTAAGTCTAGGTTATGGTAGGTCTGTGAAGGTACTAAAGCAATGTGACACTCTGATAGTGATGTAAACTGTGGTAAGTACTAGGTCATGGTAGGTCTGTGAAGGTACTAATAGCAATGTGACACTCTGATAGTGATGTAAACTGTGGTAAGTCTAGATCATGGTAGGCTCTGAGAAGGTACTAATAGCAATGTGGTACTCTCTGATAGTGATGTAACCATATAGTAAGTACTAGATCATGGTAGACTCGTGGCTTTACTTTGAGTGCAGCTGTGCATTACAGTTTATCGGTAGCCCAAGCTGAGAGAGGGGGGGAGGGACAGAAGGAGAGGGAGAGGGAGAGGAGGGAGAGAAGCCGAAACTGTGTCGATAAATGCTGAGGGGACTGGCACAAGTGCCCTGAGGGCCCCGGAAGAGCAGCTCTGATATTTGGGCACAGTGACTGTCACCTCAGTGGACAAGGCACTACCATCGCTTTTTTTTTTTTTTTTTTTTTTTTTTTAGTTTTTCAAGACAGGGTCTCTCTATGTAGCTTTGTGCCTTTCCTAGAACTCACTCGGTAGCTCAGGCTGGCCTCGAACTCACAGAGCTCCACCTGGCTCTGCCTCCCGAGTGCTGGGATTAAAGGTGTGCGCCACCACCGCCCGGCCTTATTTTTGCTTTTTTGAGACAGGGGTCTCATTATAACCCAGGTGAATCTTCAACTTACGTAACTGAAGCTAGTCTTGAACTCATACTCTTGCCTCTGCCTCCCCACTGCTGGGATTATAGGCGTGTGCCACCACATCTGGCTCGTGATTAGATCTTAAGCACATGTGGGTTTGTTTTAGATTGCCAGACCCCCCACCCCTTTTGTCTAAGAGAAAAAGCACACAGCGATAGAGAGCTGAAGTCATGGGGTTGAGGCCACACTGTGCCCTACCTAGATAATGACTAGATGGTTCCATCTTACAAGCCTAATGCTATTCACCTCAGAAACAAATGTCTTCCTTTGATGATATTCTTATATGTCTGAAAATTGGTAAGATTGATTACAGTGTGGTATAAGGAGAAATGTCTACATATCTTATATCTACTTTCTATGGGTGATTTTCTGTGATTTCAGCAATAAAGAAGAGTGGCATTGAAATTGAAATTCGTGGCTGACTCACCTAAATGGGGTGATTATTATACATAACTTAAACATATTTTTTGTTTTAGCCAAAATCTTTTGCCATAAACCATGATACTGCATACTGTGGCAGAGATGCTGTGAAAATTTTACTGGTTCTTTTGGATGAAGATGCAGCCAGTGCTCCCACCAGAAACAGAGCAGAGCTTTTATATAATGACGAGAGTACAGTTCCACACAATGGAACTTCTCTTCTTACACTCTTTAGGTATGTAATATGCAAGCTCTATGTGTATAAGGACTAACATGAGGTGTATATGTATGTGTGTGTGTGTGTGTGTATATATATATATATATATATACCATATATATATATATATATATATATTACCTTGTTGATTATCAGAGAAATTTATACTTCTGATAGGAAACTTGGAAGCAGCTGGATAATATGGAAAAAGTGAACAAAAGCTAAAGGAAGATTGGGCATTTTACTGTAGCACAGTTATATTTATAATGTAACATTTAAGTGTGGTAGGTGGTTTGGGTTTTAATAGTTCCATTTAAGTCTTTTGCTGTAAAAAATATTTCTTTGTTTTGGTATGTTTTAAATGTCAGCCCTTAAAGCAATTCCTTTTAGTAGTGTCCCCACTGTCTAAGTGAAGAATCGAGACTTGTGAGTGATTGCATAGTATTCCCAAGAGAGCTCAGTTAACAAGTAGCAAAGGTTTCTTCTCCCTAACTTGAAGTCGCTCTTTGTGACCACTGTTCTGCGTAAGACTAGGATGGACATGCCCACCATGTTTACAGCAGAATCAGCATTTGTTGGCTTCCTTGTATATTATGGAGACAGATTTGCTAAGTGAATGTTGGTGTCACATAAACACCTTGACACTGCCTCGTTGTTGCTCCAGCAGCCGTAATAAATGCCATAGGCTGATATGACCGCTGTTAAACACCAGAAACCTAATGTGACGTGAGAACAGCATGGGTGGTGTAGGCGGCTCAGGCGGGTTCTGTTAAGAACGCTGCCTCCTTAGAAGATGACAGTTGTGTTTTGTTTTCCCTACATGACCTTTCTTCAGTGTGTGCACATAATGCCCTCTCTCTTGTCCCTTTCTTACCAGGCATTTGTCCTCCCTAGTTGAGAGTTTACCCTTATGAGCGCCTTTAGCTGTAAATGTCTCTTCGAATCCTTGCCACAGGATCGCAGGCTTTTTTTGTTTTGTTGTTTGTTTGTTTGTTTTTCTTGTAAATATGCTGCTATGGGAGTAGGGAGAAAACTAGTTTAAAAGCTACTCTGGCTTATAAGTGTTATAGTTTATTTTAGTTGCTACCAAAAGCTATCTTAGACTGGATAATTTATAAATAAATTCATTTCTTGTAGTTCAGAGGCTAAAATCCCACTCTCTCAGTGTCCGCAGATTGGTTGCCATTTATGGGTTGAGGCCCGTTCCTCATGCATTGTACCTGCCCATGCATCTTCACAGGTAGAAAACTTGAAAGGACAACCATGGCCAAGCAGGGTCTCATGCTCTTTTATCAGAACACTAATCCAAATCATTAACCTGAAAACCTTCTAAAGGCCTTCCCTCTTAATATTGTCTCATTGGCAACTAAATGTCAATATAAAATTTGAAAGGGCAGAAATATTCAAGTTCTATTAATATGTGTGTCTTTTTCTTTTACATAGGTCTCCCACACAAGCGAATAATACATCAATTAAACCCCTCAGAGAGCGAATCCATAAGTCAGTGCAAGCAGAAAAAATTAAGGTATAAGAAGATTTAATCATAAAATGTCAAATATTGATTTATTTTGGAAGAAATAAGTATATAAAACTGGGCTGAATATTGCAAATATGCAATTCATGTAACAATAAGAAGGAAATGAAAAATAAGCAATGATAATGATCGTTGGTATAGAAACACATTGCTTTCTAATTTCCTGGAGCTGAATGAAAGACAGAGGTAAGCACTTGCCGTTGTAAATGTTCCATCAGTGTCTGTCGAGCGAATGAAAGGAGAAGTAAGGAGCTGTGGCCTTGTCTGTGCTTCTGATGTCCCAGTGCATGGAGACTCAGTGTGTTGTCATCACTGTAACAAGGACTGAGATAATCAACTGTCATAAATTCTGAAGACATAATGCTGGGAGATCGTTAGTTATAGATTCCATGAGAGTCTTTACATTGTTTCTTAGTGGGTGTTTATGTTTTCATTTAACTTGAAGTCGGTGTTCTGATCTTCTAGTAGAACATTTGTGTGTGTGTGTATACACACTGTGTATATGTATGTATGTATATATATTATACACACACACACTGAGCAGATTGTATGTATATATGTATACAACTAACATGTATATATGTATACATCTAACATACATATATACACACATACATATACAGGTATACATATATGCACACAATCTGCTCAGTCTGTATAATGTTACTTGTATGTATTTACTTTCATGGCTGACCATTTGGTATTAGATAACTAATTGGTGTGGTTTTCCCTGGGGAAGACTAGTTTTCGACTCTCAGCATTCTTGTGTTGCTCATGGTTCTCCGTGGAGAGGCCTCTTGAGAGCCCTAACCCCCTCCCTCCCTCCTCCCTCTCTCCTCTCTCCCCCCCTCCCCCCCTCCTTGCCCTCATCTATGTTAGCGTGTCTGTTGGTGTCGTCCTTGTGTAGGTCATGTGACCCAATCTCACAACAAACTCCCTGATCCTCTGGCTTTTAAAAGTCTTTCTGTCCTCTCCTCTCTCTTGATCCCTAAGCCTTAGATCTTGGAGTTGTATTGTAGATGTATCCCTTGGGATTGGGCTCCACAGCTAACCGTTTTGTTGGCGATGGTTTTCTGTAGTAGTCTCCATCTGTTGTGAAGAGAATTTTGCTTGGTAAGTGGTGAGGACTACATGTATATGTGGGTATAAGGACAAATATTTAGAATGTAGTTTGGAATTGTGCCTTTTTAGAAATCTCAAGTCTCGGCTAATTAGTATAAAATGAAAACAAATTCATGTGTGTTAGAGAAATAGAAAAGATCCTCTGATTTAGTGTCATTTACATAGGGAATGCTGTCTAATATTACAGTGACCATGCAGTATCTGATGTCACTTTGCACATTCATGAAATTAAACTTACGTTGCTTTGTTGTTTAACAGCGAAGTCTAGTCTACACAGCTCTGGAACTAAAAGACAATAAAGAGTTCATAACTGTGCTTTATAGTAAGTAGCCTTTGTAAAAGCAAAACGTGGAATCTCTCAGTGTAGCCAGACACGTAACTGAAGCATGGCTGGGTAAAGTACTTGTTAGGAATAACAAGAAATGTCGCTAACATTCCCTCCTAGAGTGATGATGAAATCGTAGTCCAGCCACTTATTGCTCTATCTTTCTGCTACTTTTGCCCTTTTGACATAGAGTTGTGGTGAGGTTTTTGTTTGGTTTTGTTTTCTTTGTTATGGAAATTACATGCAGTCTGCACTTGAAATACTTAGAGCATTTTAAAAGAAGAAAATGTTTGAGGATTTAGATTTTCAAATCGATACTACATGGAAAATTAGTTCTCCTTAGATTTGAGTTTCCTTATTCATAAATATAAATGAATACTTTTCTGGTCACAAACTTAGGTCTTTAACTTTCATTGTACACTGTGGTCTACTAGGAAACTTGCATCTGATTGTCCAATAAATTCATCCCTATGAAGGAAACTGAAAGGTTCTCACTAAACCTCCATGGTTTTGATACAGACCTTTGGAGAATATTTCTCCCATTTCTTTACCATTACTTTTAAACTAGTTTAAATAGCTTATTAAATTGCCTTTTTTTTTTAATTAGAAGATTTTCAAGGGCACATTAGCCTCCATAAACTCCTGTGGATGGTTTTATCCCTTCTGTCTTGATTTGGCAGCACCTTGCCTATCTGCGTCAACTGAAAGGCTGGACATGCTTCTTCTCTACTGTGTCTTTAATGCCTTTGACCATCTCAATGGGTCCATGCTGTATATATATTTGTGTACTTAATAATGTAAACTACTCGACCCACAAAGTATGGGATCCTTAACCAAGAAGAAGTAGGTGGAGTGAAATTTAGATAGTTGTGGCGTGAGAAAGTTGCCCTCTCTGTAACTCTGTGGCTTCCATAGATGGTTCTTGTCCTGTGGTGTTGGAAAATTCTGTCTTAGATAACCAGGTTTAGCCTGGGAACTTGAAAACTTGAAAGCATGTCCAAATTAAAAGGTGAATTGAGATGGAGTCTCAGCATCTCCTCTCCCTGGCTTCCTAAAATGAATGGAAAAGTAATTAACCCTGACAAAAGTAGGGCTAAGGAGATGGGGACTTAGTGAAGTGTCTGCCGCACAAGCACAGAGACTGGAGTTCAGGTTCCTAGCACGGCATGCGCCCATACCCAGGGCCCTGGGAGGGGGAGGCAGGCTGTGGGAGGGACAGGTAGTCACAGGGTCCTGGTGAGCACTGGCTAGCCAGTCCAGTCAAATGGCAAGCTGAGACTTCAGGGAGAGACCCTGCCTCGCGAATTTAGGTGATAAAGTGATTGAGGAAAACATCCTGACAACAATCTCTGACTTCCACACGTGCCAGGTTAAATGAGGGCAGCTTTGTGTACACACACACACACCCCCCAGAAGTAATCACTGAGAACTAACAACAAAGAATATTATAATAAATTACAGTCAAAATGGCCCACAACAGAAGCTGAAGGTCTCAAAGGGAAGAAGCTTAGCATGACTTAGCAACTTAATTTAGTCTTGGTTACCAGATAGAGAGATGCAATACTAGTCTAGTCCTAGTTACCAGATAGAGAGATGCAGTACTAATCTAGTCCTAGTTACCAGATACAGAGATGCAGTACTAATCTAGTCCTAGTCATCAGATAGAGAGATGCAGTTCTAGTGAATATACAGAATTATGAGAATTGTCCCTAGGATTTCCCAAACTGAGAAGCCAAATAAATGTGTGTGTTTCTCTTTTCTCTTTATTTTTCAAAGAAATGATAGGCACAGCAATTAGATAGTAATGTGTGAGAATGAACTCTGAGATTATATATTGAGAGAAGTGGAGGCTCTTGGGCTCCATACTAAATCTTATCCAACCAGGTCTCTAATTAGAATGAAGCAGAATCCTGACTAGATAAAGTAGACCTTCTGATTATATATATATAAATAATATATATATATATATATATTATTTATATATATATAAATAAACTCAAGAAGAGGACCCAGAAACCAGAACCTTCTTTAGACTGTTGCCTCAGATGACCTCGATATCTACCCCCACCATTCCTTGGGCAACAGAGAAACAAGGGCCAGAAAATATGTGACTCTGGGGAGAAATCAGATGCTTTCAAATAAGAACCAAGGAACAGCATTGAGTAACTAGTCACAGACTGGAGACTTCTTTTCCTAGCTATGGGGTAGTAGGTTGTGGCTGAACACCACTTCTCTTACAGTAACATGATTACAAAAGGCAGATAAGCTTGGAAAACACATTTTAAAGACACGGTAGAGCTGTGAAGCAGAAGTATTAATATAAAGCAAGAATCCAGAGAGAATGAAATCCTGCTCAGATAGACAGTCCATTGTTGATTGTTCCCTTCTGGTATCATTTGCCAGCTGGGATATATGCTGAGGATGGCTACTGGCCACTTAAAGGACCTCCATGGAAGGAAGGGGACAAGTTAGCGGAATTGTGGTGTTTTGAGAGGCTGGTCACCCTTTGAAATCTCAAGACCACCTAAATCTGCAGCAGGATTTTTCTTCTACTAAGGACACTTAAGAATTTTGTCGTAAATAGAGTTAACCCTTGTTAACTCTAGAGGCTGTTTTGCAGACCACACTTCCAGCAAGCAGCAGGGCGAGGTTTAGAGTTAGGTTCCAGAGTTCAAAGTTTGATTATCACTGAAAAGTAAATAAGAGGCTCATTTAAAATATAAAATTATAATGTTATTGCTTCAGTGAATTTTTTCTATTTAGCTCTGCAATTGAATTTGCTCTGATAGAAAAATATGTATGTACAAATTCTTCAGTATCAAATAAAAGATAGTAAAAATCTCTATTCTTTTGAAAATGTGGTAATGTAAGAATAAGATAAATTTGGATTCATTTACTTTAGATACATAGTTAGCAGGTATTTTGAAGACAGTTTCCCTTTTCAAGCTTGTTAATGGTACAGTGGTAGCGTAAGACTTTCATTTTCTGGCTAACTCAGTGTCTCTTCCTGTTCAGTGCTTTGACTCATTCATCTTAATTTAACTAGAGTCAGGCTTTCCTATGTGAAGTACTTTTTCCTCAAACTGGGAACCTCCTAATAATTTTAATTTAAAAAGAGCTGTGGCAAAGGACTTTTCCAATGCTTGGCAAGTCTGAAGTTCGTTGCAATTTCACTGTGGATAGAAATCTTCCCAATGGAGGGAAATCACTCCACCAAAGAACACTTTCAATCTATTTCTCTCTTGTGACTTGAACATAAAATGATTTTAACAGCCATGTATGAATCTGGACATTATCTGGGTTTTTTAGTACTTCAAAAGCACTTTCAGGAGGGAATTGTTTTGCTTATTTGTGATTCTAAGTCAAATACACAGAGAGCTTTGGAAGATTTGCAACAGGAAGTAATCTCAATTCTATGTGACCACTAATCTTGTGCAGAAACATTCAACTTTTATGAACAAAGGAAAAGCATTTCCTTTCAAGTTATAAATACAAGCCACTTTATCTTGCACTGTTTTAATAATTAAATGAAGACACTGATGATAAGGTCCTTGTCCTGAGCTACATTCTAGAATCTCTTTAGAACTGACCTGGACCTGAGAAGTCTGATCCAGCAGAACTTATTTTATATACTCACTTCATCTGTGTTATAATAGCTATCCAGTATCTTTATTAGGTCTCTAGAGTGTACATGTATATATCATATATATATGTCTCCATATGTGCATACATGGGGTATATTCATAATCTCTATACCCCTGATTTTGGTGTTTGAAACAAGGGGACACACACACACACACACTTTTTTTTTTTATTTTTTTTGAAACAGTGTCACTATGTAACCCTGGTTGGCCTAGAACTTGCTATGTAGAGACTAGGCTGACTTTGAACTCACAGAGACCTACCTGCATCTGCCTCCTGAGTGCTGAGGTTAAAGGTGTATGCCATGCCAATCAATGTCTATATTTTTTTTACTTCTGTAATGCTGACAGTTCTATGAGGTGAATATTATTACACTTAGGTGAGAACACATTAGAAGTTGATGATTTATTCAAGATTATCTAGTTATCAAGGGTCTGTCAAGATGGCTCAGTGGATAAAGGTGTTTGCCACCAAACCTAACAACCCGAGTTCTATCCTTGGGACCCACATGGTGGAAGGAGAAAACTGACTCCATCAGTTGTCCTCGGATCTGTAAAACCCACGTACCTGTGATTTCAGATTGCCCTCGAGCCAACTTACCTTCATCTTGTACATATATACTTGATGGTTTTTAATCTAAATATAGAACTTTGTTTTTCTGAATCTATTTTCTTCCTTTTATTTTTTTATGTGGTTAGAGTCTGGAAGTTTTCAGTCTTTGAAATTCCTTTCTGCTTGTGTCAACAGAAGATTTTATAAATAAAACCCCTTTGTGATTATAGACACTTTCTGGTTATCTCTTGAATACTCTGTGCCTATCATGTAGTATAGAGACTCAATAAATAGTACTTTATTTGAAAAGACTTTTGTAGAGGAAGAGACTAAAGAAAATCCATATACAACACTTCACAAATAGAAAAAAACGTTTGAGTTGGGTATCCTGGGGCATATCCATAATCCCTGCAGCCTTGCACTCTGGGGTCTAAGACAAGGAGGATCTCAGGTTCGAGGCCAGCCTGGGTTGCATGGTAAGATTGTGTCTTAAACAAGCATACAGGCAGAAAACCCCTCAATGTAGTTACTCGTTGCTATTTTAGACACAGCTATTCCAAGGTCACGTAGAACTCTTATGCTTTTTGTATTTTGATATGTATTTCATGGTTAATAATTTTTTTCTCACCTGTACCTGTCCTTCTTGCTATAAGAACATGCTGTCTTGTAACGTAGTTTTCTGAATTTGACATGTCACTGAGGGCTTTGCTATTTCCCTATGTGGTGCCTGAAGAGGAACTCTAGCAGGAGAGATGGTTACACTAGTTCTTGACTACATGTAATGGGAAACAAAAGTTTTTTCTTAGATTGTATATTAAAAGTAAATAAAGAAATTATAAGAAAATGTATGTTCTTGCTCAACATGAAACTGAGAAAACAGACTATCCTGAGCAGTGTAATTTCTGTCTTTTTATTGGCATGTCCTGTAGGTGGTTCCAAAAGTTTGTAAGGGGCAGTAGCGATGTGTAGGTGCACACTCTCCAGATGCTAAGGGAATGACCTAAACCAGTCTTGGCCTACGCGGTCTTACCATACTTCCTGTAACTCGTTGTTTGTCTGAGGAAGGCAGTGAGACGGCGTCACCATGTAGCCCAGGCTGGACTAGAACTCTGTACTGCCTCAGTCTCCAGATGCTAGTATTAAATGTGTACATCATTTGGCTCTCTGTAACTTTATAAGCAAGTTTATAACTCTTTGTAAGCAGTAGAAAGAGTTACCCAAAGTGTTGTGCTCCGGGAAGGCTTGTGGTGAAATGATACAACCGAAGGTGTGTTCCTGGGGATTCACAGATGCCTAGTGAGTGGTGCTGCTGTCACCAGCCTGCTGCTGTCAGCAGCCTGCTCGTTTCTCCTTTCTGTAAAAAATAGCTTTTCACTTCTTTTTGATTAGCAAACTCCAATTGTCTAGTTCTTCATTGAAAAATATGGAACACAATTTGTACTAATGTGGAAATGGCTTTCATTAGTTTAAAGGAGAGTTTATCACTCTAAATGAAATTGGCTTTTATGAAGCAGCTGGGAAGGAGGACTTTCTCATATCTTTTAAACTGTGGTCAGTGATTGTATTGCTATCATCTTCGCAAACATCTGCATGAATTAGAACACTGGTCTCTGATTATATAACATAAAATGTAATTACTGAATATAATATATAATTATATTTTAATCAATAAATTCTCTTAGTAATATCCAACGTAAGTATAATTTGAAGGGTAAAAGGATATGAGGTAGCTTCTAACGACTTGGAGACATCTCCCCATAATAATTAATGGTTATCGACCAAGTGTGACTGATGATATATTCACATTTTATGTGTAGACTAGATGTTCTGAAATGTATTCCTATTCCTATAATAGCTCAGCAGTCTCATATTTGCATAATGCATCTCCAGACTGCTTGTTTTCCTGTCCTGGTTCATAGATTAGCTTTCCCCCTCTCCCTCCTCCCTTCCCCCTTGCCCTCCAGTGTCTTAGTACATAATCCAGGCCGTCCTTCAACTTTTGATCCTCCTACTTTAGCCTCGGAGTGTTAGGACTACAGTTGTAGGTCGACATACTCTGCTTAGAATTAACTTTATCTGTCTGATTTTCTCCTGTTTATGAGAAAGTTGGCCTTTCATTTCTTATCTCTGAGGTTAAAGACAAGTGTATATTTTGAAATTTTGACCATTAAAACTCTTGGTTGAGTCTTTCTAGAATGGTATAGTTAAAAACTCTTTCTGGTTTTCCCAAATATTTGTTTTAACCAAGAAATAATGTCTTTCCATGTTGTTTGTGGTCCTCTTGCTCAACATTTGCTATTTCTGTTTCTTCTAACTTCTCAGTTCCCATTTTTGTCTTCTTATTTCTCCTTCCACCAATTTCTTTTTTTTATTATTAAGAAGTTTTCTGTTCATTTTACATAGCAACCACAGGTGCCCCTCTCCTCCCTCCTCCAACCACCTCCTCCCCCAGCCTTCCCCTCCAACCCACTCCCCATTCTTACTTCTTCCAAGGCAAGAACTCTCATGGGGAGTCAGCAGAGCCTGGTACATTCATTGAGGCAGGTCCAAGCCCCTCCCCCTGAACCAAGGCTGTGTAATGTGCCCCACCTTAGGCACTGGGCTCCAAAAAGCCCACTCATGTAGCAGAGACGAATCCTGATCCCACCCACTACCAGGGGCCCCTTAAGCAGCTAAACAACTGTCTCGCCTATGCAGAGGGCCTAGTCCACTCCCATGCAGGCTCCACAGCTATTGGTCCACAATTTATGAGTTCCTACTAGTTTGGTTCGGTTGTCTCTGTAGGTTTCCTCATCATGATATTGATGCCCCTTGCTCATAGAATCCCTCTTCTCTCTCTTCGACTGGGCTCCTGGAGCTTGGCCTGGTGCTTGGCTGTCCTTCCACCAATTTCTTTAATGGCATGTACTACTTTTTCTTATGGAGTGTTGTGCTCTTTTTTTAATATAGGATATAGAACTCCCATTTTTTATGATTGTGTGATGTATTCAGTTATCATAACACTCACTCCAAAGCAGCCCAAAGGATTGTTACAAAACCTCTAGAGTATAAAATTGCGTTTTAGAACTGTTATAAAAATATAAAATATATGGGTAATGCTAGATATTGCTAAAAAGAACTAAGAGGCTAGCCATAGTAACAAGTGAGTTTGAAAACTGAAACAAAATATAGATAAAAGTTCCCAGTGAATGGTGGGATTTGTAAGAGCAGTCTTTATATTATGCGTCACTTACTAGGGAGCATTTATATAACTAAATGGAAAATAAGACCAAATATAATTGCATATTTTTTCTTTGTGTTATCAGATGAGGCAGACCTTAATTAGATCACAGTTCGCTTGTACTTACAAAGATGACTACATGACAAGCAGGAATCGGTGGAATGTTAATTCACCCTCAAAGCCGTTGTGTGCTCTTCACTTGGAAAACGATATTGCTGGTAATTATCCTTGTTTGAATAATTTGTCCCCCATTTCTCTTTGCAAATACTAAGAAATGTAAAGACTTGTATTTTAAGGCCTGGATTTTTTTAAGAAATTGAACCTAAGTTCAGATTTATGGATAGGAATAGGATATAATTTAATCTAACTAAGTGGATTTAAAAAACAATTCATAGTATGTACCTGTTGTATTTTTACATAGATGTTTGTTGTTTTGGATGAGAGGTGTCATAGTAAAATGAAATAATAAAAAGATAATATAGCTTCTTCATGGCATCTAATTGAGTATGATTATTATATTATAAATAATATGTCTTTAAATACTCTAGCCATTTTAATGATTATTTTATATGTCTCATGACTTATAATACTAAATATTACATGAATCCTCTCCCCTTGTCATTCTTATAACAGAAGGTGCACACTCCTCTGTTGGAAGAGCAAGAATTGAAACAAGTTCTGAAAATGTGCATCTGGACAGAAGTAAAGATGACAAAATCCCCAGAAAATCTGCAGAAAATAGAGTATCGAAAAGGAAGCAGGTGGACGTAGACAGTGACAGTATTCACCGGGATAATGGACGTGAACCATCCCGACACCGAAATGTGAAGTTGCCTAAAGTACCCGATGACTCACACAAGAAGGCTGGTGGCAAACTGGCCGGAGGAGCAAAGGGCAGTAGGTGTGCTGCCGGGGGCAAGCTGATTCCTGGCCAGACCAAGCTAACTCAGTTTTTTAGGCTGTGATTTTCTCATCTATATGCCTTAGATCTAGATATATAAGACCATTCACCAAAGCCATGAGCTGACTTTTAAATATCAAGATGTAAATTCTGGTGCTTTACTACTTTAATAAGTGTATGTGAGGCTCACATGTTAACCACTGTTCAAAAATACCAGGAAGTCAGAATTATGCAGAATCTTTATGAAGTTTAATGCACAAGCCAAAGCACATCATTTAGATGATTACGTATCTTAACTATTTGAAAACAGACATTTGGGGTAATATATAAGTCATATCAACATTAAGGGCTTTGCTCTCCATTTTCAATGAGTTATTTTCTTCTGAAAGGATGATGTGGACCAGCAGGTTTCAGACTTGCCAGCAGGGTCGGTAGACTCTTCCCAGCATGCACCTGAGCACTGGGAGGGAACAAACAATGACTATAATTACCACACAGAATTCAGAAAAATTATGGACCTATTATACTGAATTCTGAATAAATCAAGCCACAGTTACTGATTTTTAAAAATTCCCCATTTTGGCAGGGTCACCTGCTGTCTGGTAGAACTGAACCATGGTCTTATTAGATTTTGTTATGGTCAGATCAGTTAAGCTCCGAGCTCTTTTTATAGCATTAAAATAGAGGAATTGAATTTTTAAAAGGCTACTCACTGTCAAAATCTCTCCTTCCTATAGGAAATTTAGCTGAGTTTTCTTCATCCCCAATTTCTCTCTTTTCTTGTGTTGACTCAGTATTCTGAACTCCATTCTCAGCTGGAAAAGCTACTGATCCTTTCAGAGCGAGATAAGGTTTTATAGCCAGATTCAGTGGCAGACCATGATTTATGAGGTTCTGTTTGGAGCCTGTGTTCTGTAAAGAGAAGGTTGGTTTGTATTCCAGCCATCTTCTTCAGAATAGAGCTAAAATGCAGTTGCACAACATTCTTGCTGATCAGTTCTAAGATGTGCTACACTGTTTTTCACTTCTAAAATATCTTAGATACAAGAAACAAAGTTTTTGATAAGATGGGGAAGTACCTGGCATGTATGAAATCATATTAGTTATCTTAACGCACACTGTGACTCTGTTTGCTTGTATTCCCGTTTACAAAATGAAAATACCAAGTTTACCTTTAGGTTATTTATAATTATAAAAGTAATTTTCACTGCTATTGTAATAAAAGTCAGACTACATGTACTTACCTTTGAGTTTTTGTTTTCATCATCGTTCATGAAACTGCTGTCATCATTTTTATATTGTTCCAGAGAAGGAGCAGCAACTGATCTTTCTGCAGTATCCTCCTTCTGAAAGGCTTTTCCCATCCTAAATGTATTAAATACCATGTCATCTTCTACATTTCTTATGGACTTGGAAGCTGAAAGTAAAATACCTTGAGAAAACAAAGAAAAAGTCAGCATTAATATGTAGGAAGAGAGACTCATTTTTGCCATCCTTAGTTCGATGCTTGCATAAAGCCAAATGGGTAAAATGAAGAATTCCGCACTCTGCCAGTGGCCAGATGATTCCCTACCTTTATATGTTTCTGCATGAATAGAAAACACTTGAAGGACTTATCTTTTCATCATTTAGAATTGACTCATCTAGCCTTTTGTAAAGCTGCTAATGCCTGATTGTTTGGGCTTTAGTGGCCTCTTGTGTATTTTGTGTGTGAATTTTCTGAGAATCTGATTAAGGCCTTTGATAGAAGGCTTTCTGTTGAGTAGATTATAGGCTCTTGAAAGTGGGTTGTTATTAAGGAAGACCACAGGACACCAGGCTCTTTGAATATTACTGTTTCCTTCTTTGTATTTCCTGATTAAGCTATTAAAACACAAGTTATTTCATTCACGGATGATAAGGATAAAGTTTTATGCTCTTTTAATCCTTATTAATAAAAGTTATCTCCAGACAAGATTTTTATTTTATAAATACTTGATATGATCTTTTGTGATTAAAGTACATATGCTTGTCAGTATTAACAAAACAAACAGACCAAAAAACTGTTCATTCTTCATCCAAAACTGATCTGTCTGATGTGTTTTATCTTAGTTCCAAGAGAATAATAAATTATTAGTAAATTTAGTAACTAAGTGATAAAAAGTCTGTGAAAAAATATTTATGGTTTCCATAGAGATTAATTTTAGACATTTTATGTTTTTGCTTTGTTTCTTATTTATTGAGACAGGGTCTTGCCTTGTAGCCCTGGCTCTCCTTCCATCTATGGCAATCCCTCTGCCTCAGCCTACCAACGGTTGGGATTACAGGTATGTGCTGTGCCACCATATTCAGTTTAGAAATTATGTCTTTGAATCACACATTTCAGACTTAATTTCTAAGACTTTACTGTATTCTCATGCATGTCTTTGTGTGTGTGTGTGTGTGTGTGTGTGTGTGTGTGTGTGTGTGTGTGTGTCTATAAAGCTGTGATTCTAGGGGTAGAATTTTAGGCCATAGCATATGTATATCTTTGGTTTTAGAAATGCTTTCATTTAACAGGGCACAAGAATCCCTCTTGCCACATGTTTGGACCTGACAAGCTTGAGTATCTTGGTATACTTTAAGTTTTCACTTCCCTAATTACCAAAGGTGTTAGGCTTGTCTTTTCCCTGTGATTTTATATGCTCTCTCCCCTCATCCTGAGATTTGAACTCAGGACTGCACATGTTGGGCTCATGCTCTACCACTGAACTGCATCTCTAGCCTTTTTTTTTTTCTTCTAGTTTTCATTCTTTAGATGGTGTGGCACTGTTTTCCAGTGTGGCCTCGAACTCACCCTGTAGCTGAGGCAGGCCTTAAATTTTCAATTCTCTTTAACGTTCAGAGTAGCTAGAAAGCAGGTCCGACTTTTGGTTCTCTTTTGATAATTGATTATGAGCACTCTTTATACACTATTCTGGACATTAATTGTTAGATATGCATGTTGAGAATATGTTTCTCAGTTTGGAGCTTGTTATTTCAACTTTTTTGTGGTGTGTTTTGATGACTTAGGCTGCTTAATATTAATATGTAATTTTTTTCTTCATGTTTAATTATTAATATGTGCATTCTAAAGAAATTTTCCTGAGATTATTAACATATTTTCATATATTTTATTTTTAAACTTAAATATTTTTATTTTTACATTTATTATATATTAATTAGTTCTAAATTATTTAGAACGTTGCCAATGGTAGAATATTTAGACTTTTAAGTTTCCGGTGTCTACGTGTTTCCTGGGTCATTATGCATCCTCTTCCTGCTGATTTGTGGTATATCTGTGCAGTATGCCAGGCTTCCTTGAATGTGTGGGTTCTTTTCTGAACTGTTCACTCTGCTGTCACACTGACAGTCCTTTCAGTTTATATTTTAATGTCTAGTAGATGAAGCCTACCACCCATCTCATCTGCTGCAATTTTTTTAAAGTAGTTCTTTGGTTCTTCCTGGACAATTCTTAGTTCAAAAGCACGTGGATTCCTTATGGACTTTTTAATGAAGACACACTAGCCCAAACCTCCAGCCAGTGTTGGAATGGAGGGAACATGCCTCTCTGCATACTAATGATTTCAAAGAGAACAGTAGCACTTTACCCTTGAGCACGACCATAGGTCTCTTGTAGACTATCTAATGGGTAGGAGATTTTCTCCTATTTCTGCCGTACTGACAATTTTTACAACAGATTGTTGGATCTTATTGAATTCTTAATACTATGTATATTTTGGAAATGATCATATAATTTTCTTCTTTCATCTTTAGTAAGTAAGAGTTTTTTTCTAGTATTAAAATTTTCATGTGCTTGTAAAACCAATTTTTATTTATATTCAACCTAGAAATATTTCATTCAGTTATTTTAAATTCATCATCATGAATGAGATCTGTAAGTTCTCATTTTAGTATTGAATTTGTCTGAGTGTGACATTAGATTGTAATAACTTTGTAAAATGGGAGAGAGTCTTTTCTTTTTTTTTTTTTTTTTTTTTTTTTTTTTTTTTGGTTTTTCGAGACAGGGTTTCTCTGTGTAGCTTTGCGCCTCTCCTGGAACTCACTTGGTAGCCCAGGCTGGCCTCGAACTCACAGAGATCCGCCTGGCTCTGCCTCCCGAGTGCTGGGATTAAAGGCGTGCGCCACCACCGCCCGGCGAGAGTCTTTTCTTATCCTTTACTATTAAACTATTTGGGTGTGGTACTCTCTTAGTGTGATTAAAATTTTTTTTTGTTCTTTTCAGCTGTAGAGAGGTATTTAACCCCTCATTTTTTTTGTTTTAAGAATTTACATTCTATGATGTGTGCAAAGCATATTTCATCAGATAGACATAGTTAATAATGTCCAATCACTTGGGGTTATTAAAGTCATAATGGACAAGTGTTTTCTGGGTGTTATTTACACAAAAATCTCGGCTCTCTTCGCTCTTAGAGAGTGCTCATCTGTTATTTGCTGCCGTTCGTTCGTTGTTTTTAATCTTCTTAATGCTGTTACTTGTGGCCTGGTTTGTTTTCCAGCATTTAAAACCTGCTTTGGAGGTGTGTGCATGATCTATAGAAGTGCTTACTAATACTAACCTTTTTCTTTTCTTCTGAGCTGCTGTCTTGGAGTATGGTAAACATTAATAATTATGTATTTTTTTTTAAGTTTCCACTGGGTGAATTGTTTTGGCTAGGCTTCCTCTAAGGTTGGGGCCAAATCCAAACCATTCTGACAGTTTAAAATATTAGTTAGTGTTTCCCTTTATTTTGCTTAAACTGTTCTAGCCTCTGAGCCATGTGAGGTTTTCTCATAACCATTTAATTATGGAGATAGTTTCAATTTTTAATGATAACTTTTTTTTCCATCAGTTACTTTGATGTGCAATAGAGCATGGCAGATTTCCTTTTCATTGATGCTAAAAATGAAAGTTCCACAAACAGTAGAAAGCAACTTTGAAGAAGAAAAATTATTGTCAGATGGAATTGTGTGGTTCAGGAAACCTGTGTAGTGCTAGGTTTCTATCAAATAAAGAACTACTATGAATACTGTCTTTGTTTGCAAATCATTTTATTATTAAAATTCTCTTTTTTCCAATTAGCATACTGTTGCTATGTGATGAGAATAATTGCTGAGAATCCTGTCACTTAGCCGCTGGTTTACTATGAATGAGGAATTTGTTACTGACTAAATCTATCAGTGTAAGCCTCAAGGTTGTTTCGGAACTTTTATGTGCAGGAAAACAGTGCTTAGGGAAGTTCTTTTTTGCTGAACTTGAAAGATACAGTAAAAAACAAATACTGTGGGTCTTTAAATACACAGAGAAATATTAACCAAGTTATTCATCACAGAAGAAATCCACATGCAGGTATACTGCTAAAGGAGTCTTGAAATGTAACACATCTGTACCAAAAAGATCAACATCTGATTCCCTGGCCCATGATGTTTCAGACTCATAGAGGCTTCTCTTGTGAGTCTTCTATTGGGACTGCTGAGAGCATGGGCCATAGCTAGGTCAGTCTTTGAATTTACTAGCAGGTTTAGTTTGAAAAGACATGTTTGTTTGTTTGTTTTTTATTTGCAGTTGTACCTGTACAAAATACTCAGTTATTTTCTTTATTGCAGATGCAGTGAATAACCTGGATTTTTCCACCTAGATTTTATCACTGATATTTAGATGTATCCCTTTATTTTCTCTACCTTTTTTTATACAGGATGATTCCTTTTATTAACTGAGTTGAAAGAGTTAATTATTACCAGTATATTGCTCTGTGTGTGTGTGTGTGTGACTATTATCTCTCAATCTGCTCTTAACTTAGTTGAATTTTTGATAAGCATAAAATTTTTCTTTTGATTAGACACAACTTATCAAATTAAGAATTGTTACTGCACCTCATGGTGGTGGCACATGCCTTTAATCCCAGCACTCGGGAGGCAGAGTCAGACAGATCTCTGTGAGTTTGAGGCCAGCCTGGTCTACAGGAGCAAGGGGCAGGGGTGGGGGGGATTGTTACTGCTTTTGTCTTCTAAGAAATATTTGCATATTTCTAACCTGTAAAGATGTTTTCTTACATTCCTGAAAGCTTTTGTTTTTTATGTTACATTTAATTCTATCATCTTTCATATTAAGTTTTGCATTTTGAAGTGGTAGAACCTGGTTCTCTGTTTTTATCTTTCCACATGGAGGCCCAGCTGTGTCAGCACAGTAGCTGAAAAGGTCTTCCTTCCTCTGATTGCTTTGCTTTGACGTATGTGTCAGAAATTAAATCCCTAGCAGTAAAGAGTTGTCTGAGACCTCCTGTCTTATTTGTTTATTGGCTGATGTATTTGTTAAGATTTTGCTGCTGTATTGTCTTGATGTGTACTTGATACTTGGTAAGAGAGCAGATTTTGAGGGTTTTGGGATAGCTTTGCCATATTTCAGCTTGTCTTTATAATAATGTTGGATTCAATTAGACAATTTGTTTCATTTTCATGATTGCTAGATATGCTAAGCTTTGTTTTTTTAAATCATAGCTTATACTTTGGAATCACTGGAATTAAATTAGAAATCAATAACATTAAAATCATGTAGTTTAGGAAAGTAACCATAATAAAAATTAGAGGATAGTTTGGATTGAAGATAAATATGACATAATTTGTGGAACCAGGTAATGTGCCTAAAAGGAAATGTGCATTTGGTAAAATAAAAAAAATCAGTTTGTACCTTAAGCTTTCATCTTAGTGAATACAAAAAAGAATCAGGAAATGAAGCAAATCAAAGACAAGAAATAAGAGAGCAAAGAGCTGGCTCTGTTGGTAAAGTGCCTGCTGCACCAACATAAGGACCCAAGTTCAATCTCCAGTACCCACAGAAGAGTTAGGCGTGGTGACACTCCCTGGTCATCTCAGCACTGGGGAGGGTGTAAGAGTTAGACGTGGTCACGTACCCTGGTCATCCCAGCACTAGGGAAGGTGTGCCAGGAGGATCTGTAGGCCTTGCTGGCCAGCCATTGTAGCCAAATCAGTGAGTTCCAGATTCAATGACAGACTTCATCTCAAAAAATAATAATAAAAACAATGTGGAGAGTGATTGAAAAAGATACTCAGCATAGATCTCAGGCCTCCAAACACACAAACATGTACAAACAAGTGTGTTCATACACCTGTATACACTCAAACATGTACGCACATACACATATGCAAATGTACACACAAACATGTACAAGCACATGTACATGTGTCCACAAAAAACACATACACGCCGGGCGGTGGTGGCGCACGCCTTTAATCCCAGCACTCGGGAGGCAGAGGCAGGCGGATCTCTGTGAGTTCGAGGCCAGCCTGGACTACCAAGTGAGTTCCAGGAAAGGCACAAAGCTACACAGAGAAACCCTGTCTCGAAAAAAAAAAAAAAAAAAAAAAAAAAAAAACCAAAAAACACATACACACAAACATCTACACATATATACACACATAGAAACATACACATGCACCAAGAAATGAAAATCTTCAACAGTGTTTTACAAATAAATGAATAATAAATTGGCAAACATTTTTCTGCAGAGCGATAGGTAGGACATACATTGGGCTTTCTGTGCCTCACAGCCATACCTGCTTAGCTCTACTGCAGTAGTACAGAAGCAGCCACGCCGTGTACTGATATCTGCTCAGCTCTACTGCAGTAGTACAGAAGCAGCTCTGCATGCACTGATATCTGCTCAGCTCTACTGCAGTAGTACAGAAGCAGCCACACCATGCACTGATATCTGCTCAACTCTACTGTAGTAGTACAGAAGCAGCCACGCCATGCACTGATATCTGCTTAGCTCTACTGCAGTGGTACAGAAGCAGCTCTGCATGTACTGATATCTGCTCAGCTCTACTGCAGTAGTACAGAAGTAGCCATTCCATGCACTGATATCTGCTTAGCTCTACTGCAGTAGTACAGAAGCAGCTCTGCATGCACTGATATCTGCTCATCTCTACTGCAGTGGTACAGAAGCAGCTCTGCATGCACTGATATCTGCTCAGCTCTACTGCAGTGGTACAGAAGC